GAACAAGATTTGTAGGCCAGGGCACCTCTTCAGAACTACAGTATTTCATTATAATACTGTTTGGCCACACATTTATCCCTTATCAAACAAATTGCAGGTTCTGCGATTTGGATATTGCACTTGGCCATGTCACGATTTCGAATATTTCAATTAACTGTGCAGCCCTATTGGACGTCTATCATCCTGAATATGGTTTGGCTAGCTGCTAATGTAGAAAAAGATGTTAAGAAAAACTCAAAGTAATACAGCTTTTGTCATTTCTTACTTAAAAAACTTCAGTCATTCTTTCTTTCTCTACCACAATTTAGAGCTGCTGAACAGTAGTTCAATGTGCTGCATAGATTCATTATTATTTCTGGGAAATGAATGGTGGTAATCAAATAGGAGCTGGGCTGCTTGTTAGAAAGTCTGAAAGGACGTCCTTCTGTCAAATTACAGCAAGGTTGCTGTTAAAGAGAAATTGATGAGTGTGGGTTGACTAATTAAATAATAAGATGATTGGCGACAAATGTGGGGGTGAAAGTTATTTCTAAGAAGGATTCAGCTGACTCTGATTTTTTTACAAGAATTTGGCATTGGTCAGTTTATAATACTACAAGGCACAAGGGAAAATATTAAATACACACCAGTGTAAAAACACATTCTCAGAATTCATTTAGAGAATTTAACTCTGAATAATTGAATAAATCTGTCATGTACTTTGCATAACCCTCCCAGTTTGAGCTGGAGTGTGCTACAATTTTTGAGCTATACATGTACATACTGCAGTGCATCTGCAAAGCACAGAACATTTCTCACAGATGTGATCAACATCTGCAAAGGGTAATGAAGCATTTTAATGAACCACTGCTGATCTAACACAACTAAGAGTTAAACTCACAACACAGGGGAACAAATTGAAGAAACCTCAGTAACATGGTAAATGTACATCTCTAGCCAATACTAAGTATAATTGTCCTAGAATAAAATGATATAATTATTGATCGTTGGCTCACCAGGCTAATTCTACACTCTTTCACTCTTACTCTTTTTCTTCTCTACTTGCAACACATGCTGTGCATGGATTCAGACAGCTGTTAAGAGTGAAGGAGACAAATTGCATTAAAAACAACTAGACCCGACCCGAGCCTGAAGGTTTATACCAGAAGGTGGCACTCCTTGAAATTGATTATCTGTGGAGTAGTAACATGCACAGAGAAAACGCCGTAATCAGGTTAAAGTCTTTTTATTTATTTATGTACGGTTCAACGCTGTACAAATGATTATCTCTTTTGCCATTAATGAACCTGTTACTGAATATAAAACTTACATAGCAAGTATCTACTAGCAATAATGTGTAAAAAAGGATAGCATTGGCTGCTGGCTAAGTCCTCCCTCTGCTCTTTGACAGTTGACAAATTGTCCTCTGATACAAGTGACATATAATGTGAATCCACATGTTAAACCCGCTGCCACATTTCTTGTTATTATTAAACTGTGTGAGCCTGAATGTGCAGCATAACCCAAATATACGTATATTGAGTAGGGCATTTACGTGCCACAGTGACCTGTTAAATATGGGAGAAGATGAAGGCTCTGCAACTGGGTTACCCAGTTATTTAAACAGTGCTTTGGATGAAGCCAGTGAGATCACAGTTTGTCTCTGTTAACCCTTATTTACCATGTACCCCTCTGTTTTCTAGCACCAACAGCTGTGTGGACGACTTAATGGATGAAGATGAGAAAGACAGGGCAAAAAGGTAGGCTCAGTGTTCATGTTTGTATGTCTGTCAGTGTGGGCTTTTTTCTCCCTGATCCTGCAGTAATGAGGATAGAAAACATGTATCTGTGGTGGTAGTTAATCATTTTAAAAGAAACTTAAGAATGAAGTCTATGGAAATTAACACTATCTGAGCATAACTTATATATAATTTTATAAATAATAAAAAAAAAAAAAAGACATAGTTCACAAAAAATGCATCCAAGTGATGATTACGTTTTGTCAGCTCTTACTCTTGCTTCCTTTCAGCTGTATAATATAACGTAATATTCCACGCTACTTAATTGTGCTAATAGTTACAGAATACATTTTTTTTTATTGCTGACCATAATGTTGTCTGATCTCAACAAATTAAATTTGTCAGAGTTGCTCCAAAATGCCTGCTCTGACCCCGTTGATGAAATGTGTAATTTGTTGGACAAACTAAAATGGCAGATGTAAATGTTCCAAAATAATTCCAGATTAGTTAACATTAAAATAGCCACAAACTAATTCTTTCTCTTTCTCAATTCATGGGGAAAGAAGAATGAATGAATTAACCAGTATGATGTAACCTAGAGTGTAAATTGGTCTAAATTGGACTGCTGTATTCTGTATTTAATCACCTGGCTCATATCCTTTGTATAAAATCCACCTCTGTGTTTGAGTCTGATTTATAATTATGTATTTGTATAGTTAATTACCTACTCTGTAATTGTCTTTTTAAAGAACCGAGCTGTATTAATTCTTTGTCACGCTGCCTTAATAACAACGTTATTTTACTCACAGATAGGAACAAACACAGGCTCTGTTTTCAGAACTGTGCTGCTGTGACCCCCCCACTCATTTCTTTGAATCTATTGTGAACTGTTTTGATTCTTCTGTCTATCCTTGCAATCTTGGCTAGGTTTTGTTTGGAAAAGCGATGCACTGCCTGAGCAGGATAAATAAACGTTGATTGACTCGGCTTCCACGTATAATTCCCCAGACTTATAATTGTTCTCATGTGTTCACCGCTGAAGGGCATCGCGTAACAAATCTGAAAAGAAGAGAAGAGACCAGTTCAATGTGCTCATCAAGGAGCTATGCACCATGCTGCAGGGTCAAGGCCATCCGCGCAAGATGGACAAATCCACCATACTGCAGAGAACTATTGACTTCTTGCAGAAACAGAAAGGTATGAATATGTAGTTAGTTATTAAATTATTAACTGTTAAGTTCTTCTCATTTCTTTTTTTTATTTTCCATCATTTAGTTGATTTAATCCTCATCTTTGTGTTTTTCAGACATCACTGCACAGAATGAAACTTGTGATGTGAGACAAGACTGGAAGCCTTCGTTCCTCAGTAATGAGGAGTTCACTCAGCTAATGCTGGAGGTAAAGCCCAAGAGGATGTTTGTAGAGAAGTAGAAGTGGATTAAGCTCTGACATTGACTGATATTGATATTGAAGAAAGGAAATATTCACCCTAAAATGCCCATGGATACCCGGGCAAGATGACATGATGGGAATTTAATTTTCAGCTGCATCTATATTTACTGTTGTTGGAAATGTAAGAACTCTGTGACTGTGGTAGAGTAGATGAGACACTTTGAGGCAAACAGGGCACAGAAAGAGAAGTAAATAACAGCACATGTTAATATAAGTGTGTCACGCATTTAACTACCACAGATGATGATGATGATGATATGTGGCAATGCTGTTTGTCATCAAAGTGCTCACTTTCTTCCTCTTTTTACAGGCCCTAGATGGTTTCTTGGTGGCATTAACTACAGATGGCAACATCATATACGTATCTGACAGCGTTTCTTCACTTATTGGCCATTTACCGGTAAGTGAAAAAGCTTAATTAAGTTACTTTTATTCTCTTGCTAACATCGTTTTATTGTTGTCCTTTGTATTTGTTTTTAAGCTTCAGGCTCATTCTGATCACGACATACAAACATATCTTTATCTATAAATCTTTACATATTTGTATCACAGTTTAACTTTCTCATGATGTATCTTTACATTCCTACACAGTATTTATCTTACATAACTTCTTTCATGGCAATGAATAAAGATTAATTACGTCAATTACTGTATGTGCTGGTTTAAAACTGCAATTGACTCTAAGTGTGTCTGAAACTACTTAAAAACGATAATAATATATATAGTATATATTGTTGCATGTTAAACGCTCACCAGCAGACTAACGATCATACATCTATCCTTTTCAACCAGTCAGATATGGTGGACCAAAATATCTTGAATTTCCTCCCGGAGCGGGAACACGGGGAGGTGTATAAGCTGCTATCATCCCACATGCTGATGACTGACCCCATTGCTTCTGACTTCCTTGACAGTGAGTTATCCTACTGGGCACGCAGTCTGGCCCCTGTCTGTCTCCCATATCAGGAAGTCAAAAGTTCAATACATATTAGCCAGTCTTGTAATTTTTCACTTGGAGCTTCTGTTCGATATGATCGATGTCTGAAATACAAAGACAGTTGACTCTTGATATAAGTCTTGTCAAGTTCCTTTCCAAGTTTGTGTTTCAGAACATACCCAACGATTGCCCTGACACTAATAGTGTCGCTTGACACTCTTTATATATAGAGCAGGTTGCTGAATTGGGATCTAAAGTTTATCGGATTGCTGATTAGTGTGTATCTATGATTAGCCTTTTTGCTAATAATAGGAGCTAGCTTAGTATCATAGTTAAGACTTTAAATCACTGTTCTGTTAGCACAGTAATCCAAAGCAATGTAGTATCTGGGGCTCAAGACACTGACCTTAATCCTGTGTTTCTATTGGGCTTTTCCGAGGAAGAGAGATGGCGAGTTGCTAGTGTGTTGGTCTATCCTTAGAAGCCTAAATAGCAAACTGTCACAGAGCCATGTCTGGAGTGATCATCATGTCTTGGGGACATTTCAAAAGAGACATCTATCATTTGTCTTCCTTGCATAAAAAGCTTTCAAGCAAAGTGCCTTACTGTGCAAATTATGCTAAATCGTGTTATACAAGATCTCATCTTCTTTTAGCCACTGGCTGAACTCACATGAATTCAAGTGGTGCCCAAACTACCTTGGCCTGTTCACCCAAAATGTACTGATTTTTGAGCTTCTGTGTAACTGCCTGCTTATTATGCACACTATAATAATGAATTTGCAGGAAATTCAAAATCTTGTTGCAGTCAGATTGTTCCATTATTAAGTTTCTCCATCTGAGAGTTCACATTAGAGAGCGACTGAAGCTTAAAGTGAATTTGTTATGCTGTCAAACCATGAATCTGCAACTTTTAACTCTCCCAAGGGATGTAAAAAATGTGTTAACGACGGTATTAAAAGATTACATAAGCATGGTGCCATAACCCTGTGTTGATGTGAACTCTTTCTTTCTCCTCAGGCTATTTGAACATTTCATAGCAAAACATTATTTATTGTCAGATCTAAAGTATGATGAAGTAGAAGTACTGCAGATCTGTAACTACTGTGTTGTCAGTATCATACAAACCTGATCAAAACACACCTCATTAAGAATTGGGACACTTTGTTATACAAATGCACATATACGGGATTATAAATAGGCTGTTAGTCATGAAAATGCTGCTGTTTTTCAGGTGAGGCACACATTGAATTTTGCTGTCATCTAGCCAGAGGTAACATTGACCCAAAGGAGCCGCCTGTATACGAGTATGTCAAGTTTGTTGGAGATTTCAAGTTTCATAACAATGGTAAGGATTTCTATTTTCTCCTTATTTAAAATACTTAAAATTCAGTGAACTGTGTAACTCTCGTTCATTTAGTAAACACTTTTGTTAAGGTCAATAAATACTCTTAAAGGTCCAGTGTGTAACATTTATTATTCATGTTGTATTTTTGTATTACTGCTACCTTGTCCAGGTCTCTCTTATAAAAGAGATTTTTCATCTCAATGGGACTTCCTGGTAAAATAAAGTTAAAATAAAATAAAAAACAAATTTAGTGCGATCTATTGGCAGAAATGGAATATAATATTCATAGGCATGTTTCCATTAGTGTATAATCACCTGAATAGAGGAATTGTTAAATTTTTGTAGTATTTTATATCTACAGACGCAGTGGGTCACCTCCATGGAGTCCACCATGTTGAACCGCTATGTTTCTACAGTAGCCCAGAAGGGACAAACCAAACACTTGCACTAGATAGGGGCATTCCCTTTTTTGGGCTTTTCACAGCTACCGTAGCAGACACCACTATATGCCCCGAAATCCTACACACTGGACCTTTAACTTAGCATTAATTTAACAAACTGAATGGGGGGGGAAAAAAGAAAGTAGTTGTCTTTCATGGGATAATATTAAAGCGGTACCTTGTCTTCTGTCACACAGTGCCTACATCTTCTTGTAACGGGCTTGAGTTGACGTTACCAAGAAGCCTGCAGTCATCGCTGGAGGAGCAGGTCTGCCTCATTGCTACTGTACGATTAGTCACTCCACAGTTTCTAAAGGTAAGACTGGCTTGGACCTTAAAATGTCTGCCTTTGTTTGTCAGTTTTTTGTTGCATGCGTGTGGCGTCATTACTCTCAAAGGAATAAAACAGGTGGCTCTGAAAACAATAATAATCTAAATCTGCATGGTCCACTGCATGAGGGGAGTTTTGTCTGAGGGATCAGACATTTTGGTTCATACTGAGTCCATCATGTCAAGCACTCTCTGGAGATTTTTTCTGGCACACTGTGTACCTTCCAACTGATTACATCAGTAGGATACATCTGCTCCCAAAGGTGCTCTAGGGGTTGAAATATGGAAGTAAATTTGAGTCAGATCAGGATGTCATGTTGGGGTTAGAGTGTGGCCTTTTTGTACCAAGACGCAAAGGACAGTCCAAAGAATAAGGTGTTTATAAATGGGTTTTTTTCTTCAGAGGCAGTGTGACAGGTCTTTTCATTCTGACTTTTTTTTTTTTTATCCATGCCTTTTTTCTGCCTTTAAATGTGCCAGAAGAACCAGATCCATTGGACAGGATTCAACTCTTCCCCCACTACTTGTTCCAAAATGTAAAAGACACTGATTACACTGATTTGCCAGATGGAATGACTGTAACGGTAAAGTCTGGACCATATGGCATGGAATATTTTTTCCCCTCAGATACTCAGACACAAGACAAATCTAGTGCAATTACTGGTTTTAATTTGTCGTCTTTTTAACGCTACACCTAACATATTTTTCACAGTTTCTCCCACAGACTAGTTGCGGTCATCATACGCTTTTTCACAATATATTTGAATGTTCAAGGGTACAGCAATATTGAGAGCATGCAAAAAAATATGATTACAAGTTGATTGCATGTAAATAAAATCTTCCGGCACTACTCAGCCTACCAAGAGTACCTCTGCATTGCCTGAGCTCTGTTGGGCTCTGTATGTTGCTATAGACACCATTTTGTATATTTGAATTTTGTAGACTAGTGTGTCATGACGATGTGACATTGTTGTGTAAATAAAGTTTTCGGATTTGGGCTTTTATTTGTTTAAAGCCCCTACAAAGAACTTCAAAAAATCGGTAGTGTTCCCACTGTCTTGTTTCATTGATTTCAAGGGGAATCTGACCAGGTGGCAAGCATCGAGAACTACTGAAGATAGATAGAAATCACCAGTCTTCTCATGGATGGTCTTGTTTGTTTATGTAGGTCATATAGGGGCATCAGTATTAAATTGAGTGTTTCATAACCAGTTTAAAAACTCATAGACACTTTTAATTTCCAGATACCTTTTAACATACATGAATATAACCATATTTATAACTCTATACATACTGTGCATTTTGTGACTTGTTTTGTAATGCAAGCATTATACCAACCTTGTATACTTTCCTTTCTTCTACAAAAATGATGAAATCTTCACAAAATATTTAACACATTGTATTTGAACTGCCTACATCAGCTTGGTTGTTATGTATAAGCAAAGTCGATGATCTAAAATCAAGAATAACTTTAATCTGCTTCACATTAGAGCAGCTGAATTGAGTGGACAAACTTAAACTCTCCCAACTACTACAACTACTGTGACTCACCTTGTGTCTTTATGTTTGTTTAGGATTTGTGTAATGTGGAAGATCCTTGCGAGGAATTCACATCCAGACACAGCCTTGAATGGAAGTTCCTGTTTTTAGATCACAGGTAAAAGATTCTCCATGATTACTTCTCTTATCAATCAGCACTGTAGATTTAATTTTTTTTTACTACATACTTATGATCTTCTTTGTGGTTTCAGAGCTTCGCCAATCATCGGCTACTTACCCTTTGAGGTTCTTGGAACTTCTGGCTATGATTACTATCATGTGGATGACTTGGAGCTTATAGCACAGTGTCATAAGCAATGTAAGTAACTCACCTCTCTCTGTTGCTTATCAAATCGCCTTTGTTCCCACCACGTCCAGGAATCCATCTGTGTGAAATCGTTCGTAGTTAAATGCATTCTTCCACTGTACTTGTGCACAGAAAAAGCCTTGACCATTGAGACCCGAACACAGCACTGATGTTCTTTTTTTCTCTCCTCAGTAATGCAGTTTGGAAAGGGTAAATCCTGCTACTATCGCTTCCTGACCAAAGGTCAGCAGTGGATTTGGTTGCAGACTCACTACTACATCACCTACCACCAGTGGAACTCCAAACCTGAGTTCATTGTCTGCACTCACACAGTTGTCAGGTAAGTCTTTCTCAGCGTCCGGGGATGTATAAGGCATAGGTTGTCTTGGAAAAAATAACAATTTGTTTAAATTAAGGTTAAATTAGTTCTTTCTATGTCTTGTTTTCCTTGCAGTTATGCTGAGGTGCGAGCTGAAAGGAGGAGAGCGTTTGGCTTTGAAGAGCTGTCTCCTCCTGAGATAGCTCCCTCTTCAGTGAAGGTAAGAGTCTAGACAGTATGTGACGTTTACAAGGTCAGTCCTTTCTGTCAGCTTCAGATCTGACCCTTGGTGTTGAACTCTGTGTTCCAGGCTCAGGAGCTGTACTTGGACATCTGCTCCACACTGGATCCTCCACGGGACAGAAACAGCGGTGCACGTTCGGTATCCTCCCACAGCTCCCGGAAGTCCTCCCACACAGCACTGTCGGACTCTGCATGTGAGTCATCCTCAGTTTCCTAAAGTGCTAACTCACTCAACAGCATGTCAATATGTACAGGAATCCTGCACCTACATGGCTGCAGGAGCTGTTGTTTAAATATAGATTGTGTTGATAATTTATAGATGGTGACACTTTCCAAGGCAGCAAATAATACGACTTGCCGTTATTCAGCACGACAGTTATAACGCCCAAGCTTTGATTGGGTCAAAGTAATGGAGATGTTAGAATCGTTTGAATATAATAAAATCTGAGAAGACTTTGTGATCAAAGGTAAAACCTCTGTAACTAAGCAGAGTTGAAGCCAATAAAACACCTACCATAATATATGTGGGTGACAATGCATCTATGAAGAAATGTTTCCGAGGCTCACTTTATCATGTTTGAGCCTCCGGTCTCTCTCACTTCAGCTGCTCTTCCACCCACCGTCTAATATACCAAATCACTTGGTTTCCATCTGCATGTTTATGAACAATACACAGTGGCAGATTCATTACACCTGCGGCTCATGAACATAGCTGCTGCTTCCCTTACCCCACGCACATATACAGAATATACGTTTATTATTTTCAAAGGCGTATTCATAAAACTGCATCTGTCAGAATAACAGTTGGTAGATGATTTTTCTTCAGTTTTTTTCTTCCAATTTGCGTCGGCTACGTTAAAAAAAAACATCCACGGAATGCATCACAGTTAGTGGGTTTAAGTCAGAGGCAGAATGAGGTGGCAATCAAGGGCTCGTGAATCAGCAGTATTGTTACACAACCAGAGAAGAAATGTATTTCATAAATAGTTCTGCCTTTACCTCAGAAAGCTAGTTACTCTGTTGAGTAAGAAACACAACTATTAACAATTTTCCCTTTTTTTGTGTTGAAGTTAAGGATATTTACATTGAAAACCTAAAATGTCTGAATGCTTATATTGTGCATTTATCTGCAGCCATTAAACATCATGGTGAAACCGGTCATCAGGATTTTCTAAATAATGCTAGTCGAATACGTGAAACAGCATGCAGTATTATTAATACATTAATGCCAATCAAACTCACATTAGATCATTGGATTTTTGTTAAGAGATCTCACACCTTTTCCTAACGTGAACATTTTCACAACAGAGAGCAGGACATCCCTTTACAGCCATATCTTTGACTATAAACTAAATTAAAGATCCAGTTATTTTTTCATTTGAAAAATTTTTCTTGCCTGCATCCTCTGCTCAGCAAAAATAGGATTTTGAAAAGTGAGGGGGACATGTTATGCCTTTGTACCAGTGTCTATGAAAAGATCCATAGTGGGAGGGTTTGAAGCAAACATTTTCAGATTATTTGTTATGTCCAGCCAAAAAGCCTTTTAAAAGAGAAGTATCACTTTCACTCAAATAAGTTGTTCTTGCACCGACCACTGATGATTGACAGATTGTAAGAAGTGTAAGAAACACACTCAAGAAATGAGTCAAACACCAAAGACTTTGAATGTTGTAGTTATCAGAAAAACAGTGATTATGATTTAACTGAACCCAGTCTAGTATGACTGACGTATTTAGAGGTAACCTGTTGTCTCTCCTGCAGCAGCTAACTCCTACACAGAGGCCTGCACACCGTCATGGCAGTCTGCTTCCATTGGGACAGAGAAGACATCTGCCAGACTCCAACCTAGTAGTTCAAAGGTCAGTTCATACAATGTTTACATGTCTGTCTGTCTTTCTGTCTGTCTGTGGTAGATAAAATGGTGAGTGGGAAACAAGTGCACAAAGTCAACACAATATCACAGATTGTGTTAAATTGTAAAACTTTGTCGTTTTCCCCTGTAGAATTTGGCACAAAGACAAAATTCCTTTGACCTCGTTCCCCAAATGAGCCTTCCCCTTTCTCCTACCTGCAGCAAGCACTCCGCAATGGTTAGTGTTTAGACTTCTTCTCCTGCCTGTTGCCTTCCTCTCGTCTGTTTGTGTACAATATCTTGTTGTTATGACTGTTGCTGCAATTGTGTTTATGTCATCTGTTGCTTGTGCCTACAGTTCCCTTCAGGCCTAGTTATAAGATTATGTTATAAAACCAAGTGAGAAAGATGGTTAAAAAAAAGTATCAAGATTACGTATGTCTTTTGTGTTGTAGCTTTTCACATTTTGCTTGTGTATTTCTCAAAGAAATCACTCATCCGTATCATTTTTTTGACCTATTTCGCAGAAAAGCTTGATGTGCTTTCACCATCAGAATAAACTATTATATGACTCAGCTGATTATGTCCTCAGATGACGTATTTACAGTAGAGCTGTAATGATTAGTCGATAAAAAGAAAATTAGTAGCCAACTATTTTGATTCTTCTTTAATCCTTTTTCAAGCTAAAATGTCAAACATTTGTGGGTTCCTGCTTCTAGAGTGAGTGTGAGGGTTTGCTGCCTTTCTTTGTCATTTTGATAGTTAATGAAGGGTTTTGGGGTTTTTTGACTGTTGGTCGGCCAATAGAAGCAATCTGAAGACGTCACTTTGGGCTATGGGAAATTGTGTTGAGCATTTTTCACAATTTTATAGACCAAACAATTTCTTGTGAAAATAATTGTTAGTTGCAGACCTATTTTGCAGTTGGTTCTTAAGTTAAAAAAAAAAAAAGCTAAATTTTTTGGATCATGTCCTTCCAGCAGCAGCAAACGCAGCAGCAGCAGTCCATGTATCAGCTGCAGCAGCCTCAGCTCTGTGTAATGAACCAGCTGAAGGAGCAGCTGGAGGAGAGGACGCGCATTCTGCAAGCTGACATTAAGACGCAGCAGCAGGAGCTGCACGACATTAAGGAGAAGCTTCACCTCGCTAATCTCCAGGTAACACCCCCACCAAGATAAAAGGAAACAGGACTCATGTCATGCAGTCAAAAGTAAATATGAAAGTAACCAGTGCTCTGAAGTATTATCCACTATAGACAGAAGAGAGGAAATGTTGTTTTCTGCATTGGGAAAACACTCGATTTCATAAAGAATTGGTAGCCGCAGATTGAATCTATATATAAAACATGATTAGGCATGCATGTAATTATCAGCTGTTAAGGAAGTCAACATCATATTGTAAGCTTGTTACCTAACCCCTCACAGCAATGGTGGAATGGCCCCACCAAGAGGCCAACACTAACCAGTTCAGGCACAAATATTCTAACCGCTACATGACCCAAATAACATGCACAGAGAGGGAGACTCTCAGTGTGGTACACAATGGCTGTACAGTAGTGTTTCTATAATTAAGACAAGTTACCAAATACCATCGCCCCCCGGGTGTGAATGCAACATGAGATGAGCTGTGAGCCAATCAGAATTACACCTGAACTGAACTGTCCTTTTTTTTGTTTGCCACTGTTGCCTCACCTAAATTAGAATGTATTTTTGCCTATATTTGATAAGGACAAAGGCAGACAGGAAACAGGGGAAAAGGGGGGTATAATGTGCAACAAAGGCGATGGTTGTGACCGTGTGGTCATGCGGTGTGCACTGTAACCATTCGGCTCCAAAATATGAATAAATCTATGAATAATCTAATAACAGACATAGTGCCGAAAATAAACACAGAACAGAATAACTCAAATCTTCCTACAAACTAGGCAGAATAGCAGCCATATTATTGGCTGTAGTAAACCCCTAAAACTAATACATTAATTTTCTTTTAGTAAATGAATGATAAATTTGCTTATGTGTGTGTTAGATGTTGTTACAGCAGCCTACCCACAATGACTTTGGCCAGGCCCAGCAGCAGCCCCAGCAGCCCCAGCAGCAGCAGCAGAGCTCGGGAAGGCCGGCCCAGCAGAGCCAGTCAGGGGTGATCAGGCAGCTCTCGAGCCACCCAAAACCACCGTCCTGCGGGGCCCACAGTTCATCCCCTCACTCACTCCTGAGAGAGAGCAGCTCACCCTCATCACAGGTACAGAGCTGTAAAATCCAGATCTGGAACTAATAGTCAGAAAACTGTTAGGAGAGCTATCCTCTAATGCTAATGCTTTGACCGGTGGCTTCTACAGGTTTTTATAGGCCGTTTGTGTTCCTTTTGTTTCACTGTAGGTCCAGCAGAGGATTGCGCGGAGCGGGCAGGCGCAGTCAGCAGTGAGCGTGCCCGTGCAGACGAACACGAGTCTGACGATGCCCTTCTACAGCAACCCTATGATGTTCTCCCAGACCAACACGAGGTCTCTGCAGGATGCAAACCAAAGACACACAGACAGCGAGTTCAGCCAAGATGGACAACTACGGTGAGAGCCCTGAAAGAAACGGAGCCTCTTTGACAACGCGCCTTGGTTCGGTTTTTTTAACAGTACAGATCGAGTTCTTCCAGTAACACGTTTTATTTCCTGCAGCATGCTCCTTAACCAGCCAATGCAGACGCTGGTTCCCACTAGCGGTGTCACCTCGCAGCCTTCCCAGTGTAACATGGGCATCTCCCAAACCATGTGAGTACTGTTTTGATTCGACTACACACAGTCTGTTTGTACAGTCTTATTTCATGTTGTGCCTGAGTTCTTCGTTCTGCCCTCCACACAGATACACGTTGGAGCAGCAGATCATCGCCCCTTCGTTCTCCATGCAACAGGTCAACTGCAACGCCGTCCTCGTGCCCTCCCCAGTCTTCACGTCCCCCATCATGATCCCGCACAACAGTTTCATCACAAACCAGTCCCAGTCAGCCTACCACTCTCAGCCTCAGGCTTCTCAGCACTCCTTGCAGCTACAGCAGCCCCAGCAGTTCTTTCAGGTACGACGCCCATCTGCTGCGTAGTGATGCAGCAGTTTTACGTGCGTAGGTTTTTCTAGAAACACATTTTTGACATATTATTACTCAGGTCATTTGTGATGGATTGTTGCATAATGCTGCTCAGTGCGATTACCCAAGGCTTTATATTTACTGATTTATGATAATCTTAGGCATTACACTGCATCTGAATCCCTAGTTACCACAGCAACAAGCTACCCCACAGGCTGTCAACCTAGAGAGCGGTGTTATTTTCAATCATTCTGAAACCCCGACTTGGATGTAAGAAAGCTGCGCTGTGATCTAAAATTCATTAGGTCACATATTAAATCGGGTTACACCAGACTTGTTTCTCATATTTGTCCAGAAGGGACAACACGAGTCGCCAGCTGTTAAAAAAAAACTCACCATAGATAAAATGTGTTAGTCTAATTCATAAGTAGATTACCTAAATCCCTCCAAAAGCCAAAGACAATATTACATCAGTTTATTTACAGTCACACTGTGGAGCCACTTCAGACATCATCATAGATGCTTTCATCACTGAAGTGACCACTTTTAGTTCTTGTTCAAGTTATAGGCATAAGGTACAGTACACAATTTGTCATGTGTAGGTGTGTTTTTTGTTTTTACTGATGGGAGATTTGTATCATTTAATTGTGAGATTGAAAGATTGAATAGTTAAATCAGAAACATTGCTTTTGTGTGCAGCCATGGATCATAAAGGTGCTTCTTGCCTCGTGCTGAGGTCTGTAGGGATTGAATTTATTCACTAACAGTCAGCTTCACTTTATTCTGCATTATGAACTATTGTACCTTCAGCAGCCACAGAGCTGCTGCCTATGCCCCATTCACTTATTCGCTGACGGTGGTTATAACTGTTAATGTAGCAGATCTTGGAGAACAACTGGGATACTTGGCAGACAAGACGCACTGTTCATTAAGTTTGCCATCATTTTGGAAGTTGCTATTGTGCGTATCGGGGGGACCTTTAAAAAGGTCAAACATAAGCCGCCTTCCTGCTTCCCACCCTGAAAACTTTCATTCAGCCCTTAAAGGTAAAATACTCAAATACTGGCAGAAGTCCACTCACCTATACACTACATGTGTTACGCATCCTAGTCAAGGATTAGACTGGCAACAGCTCAAGACAGATTTCACAGATAGAAACTTGGTGACCGTCTGGGGTTCTGTCAGCAGGCCAGAGTCCAATCATGTTCTCTTTTGTTTCCACAGATGACTCAAGGACTTGTCCATGGTGGATCTACTCCAACATTCTTACACACCGCTAACGTCCCACAGCAAAGCACCGTGGGATACATCCAGCAGCAGCCGCAAACACAGCAAGTGCAGCAAGCTCAGCAGCAACAGGCGCAACAGCAACAAAGGCAATACCAATGTTCCCAAAACCAGACTGGCAGTGTTTCAGACTTCCGGAATATGCTGACTCGGTAGCGCTTTGGACCGTGTGACAGCGCTGACATCACCCACTGTGTCGTCGCCGTGTAGGCGGCAGCACGTTGTGGCATTTGGAAGTCAAACTTGACGTCAAGTTCTGCAGTGGAAATGCTCGAGTGGAGAATCGCTTCTAGTGACCTTACTTTTGATGCGAAGGTGCCCATTCAGAAGAAGCCGGTGCGTACGTCACCGGAGTGAAAACCACTGCACTGGGCCGCAGGATCTGAGGAGAGTCTGAGGTGCTGGACCTTCATCAC